ATTATTCCAAAATAAACCGCCTTAACTTTAGTCATAGGTTCCTGTTTTGTTACCAGGTAAATGTGAATGTCTTGAGTCCCCATACCAAGAACCGTAGCAGTTCATTCTCTCTCGCTTTCTTGCTGAGTGGCTGTATGCATGATACATATACATTACATCTGGAACCCAACCTTGGCGTCTTGCGCAATACGTTCTAACTTTGTAAATCATATTATGCTTGCACTCTACTCGAAAAACACTCGTCTCACAAGCTTCTTAAAAGCTTTCTTTTATGTCTACGTAATTATTTTTTTAAAACAAAGCACATTTTCTTGAAGTGGAACCGCATGCAATAAACCACCTACATGGCTTGTTAAGTGTTATTATTACTGCACCAAAATCATTGGCCGTTATTTTTGTGCTACGAGACCCTACTTGAGTTATTTAGCAGTTACGCAATAGCACCTTAGGCACAGGGGGTGGGCACAAGTCGGCTCAACCCGTGTACTGAGAGTAGATTTGTCCTCTCCCTATATCTCCAGCCAAATAATCCCGATCAATCGGGATGGCTCAGTGATTTCAGCTCAAAATTTTACGAGAGAAACTTTCACTACGATGAATTCCCACTATTCCTGCATGCATATTAGTAAAAACTCAAAACAAATGTTAAATCTAAAAAAGTGACCCTAAGCAGTCGAGTACTTTGTTAATATAAAGTATTATTGAATACTGACAGATGGACGTGTCATGAACTGAAAACATTGCGAAGCAACAGCCAAGCAAGTGTATGCAACGATTGTCAAGTACCATGCTATGAAACATCTGTGCCGCCGTTATCACAGTTCTTTTTTAAATGTATTTCACTAAAAGTAAATGTAAAGAAAGTATAGTAAATATCTACAATTCTTCATCGGCGATATAATTCGAATTCACCCACATAACACAAACTTTGGCAAAAGCATTATTGAACCCGGTGAATTCATTGTGTGCCGATATGAACATAAGGGAAGTAAAACCGACAAAGCACCGGAACTTAGAGCAAAGGGGGATGGAGATTTAAGTCCGATCGTCTTGACTTGAGATGATGTTTACAAGTAAACTGAAGGTATCAAACAGACTTGTGCATAAGTGCATATTAATATGTAATATTCTCTGGCCTCTGGGTCACGGCTACACCACTCTTCTCATTCATCTTTGAAATAACTCATGCATCATGTGTATTTTATTGACTGAAATAATTGGCCACGATCCAAGATCAAAATCCTGATAACTAACTCGGCTTTAAGTCTAACTGATTTCATAAATTTCATGAAGACATTTGCGTTGGCATGGCAAAGGGAAAGACGAAGGAGTTTGTTTTCTATGAATTTTGCATGATGTATGAAACAACTTTATAATGATCTTTGGACAAGAAATGCTCGGTTTGGTTGCCTAACGGCAAAAACGCGCGCGAACGAAGAGCCGATATTTCAGGACTTACCCGCATTACATTTCCTAACCTAAATGTTTTAACACTTGAATTTAGGGAATTCTTATTATGAAAAAGATAACTGGAGATTGGCTCCCTTCGAGGAAATCAGTGACTTCAACTGAGCTTCAGTTACTTACAATCCATAACCCTTTATAGTTTTGAAAGAGACAAAACGCAGGTTACGCTGGAAGGAACTGGTTGGTCAAGGGGGGTTTGGATAAAACTACTAACTTTTTCTCTATTTGGAGAACAGAAGTTGTATGAATCGACAAGTTTTGACGAAGCAGAAAGCAATACTGCATATCAGCCTTCTAAATATTCCACTTGAAGACCAGCTTAATGATTAATCAAGCATCAATGGGATTAGAGCGGCATCTCTGGCGAAAATATCAGCATATGTATGTAACGCTGGACACACGTCTGCCCGTTGCAAACAGATGCAGGTCAAATGAAACAACTATTCATAATCTACCATGCTTGAAACTACTCTCTCCACCGAAATTAAGGCAAATTTCGTATCATATACTGTTACTGGATTGGATGCAGATCGTGCTATGTAAAACGTAATTTATGCAACAACTCAAGCACGCAGTTAAAAAAAGACTTTGGTGAAGATCCAACCAAGAAAACAAACCAACTGGTTCATCGTTCACTACCTTGACAGTAGTTAATCAAAAATCTGGGTCGACTTGCAAGTCTACCATATTTCGCAAAAGGAAAAGAACCCTGAAATATCTTCAGACTAGAAATGCCTCGTTTGTCAAAACGACCGGCTGATTAAAAATAATGGCTTCTTTGGAGCCGTCCTTGATAAAAACCACAACCTTTTATCTCGAATTACATTCTGCATCGTAAAAACGATTCGTTGAAATTACATAAGTTTTATCGCAATGAAAATAGCACAAATTCAAACCAGGATAATATTTAGATTAATGAACATTGATTGGCTAAATTTCTCGGAACAAACGGCAAACTCCAGAGATCTTGTTAACAGTGTTCGTCTAGTGGCCGAAGAGCCAAGATTGAGAATGTGCTTAAAACATGTTTGTTACCATGCCCAAAATAACGCCAATTACCTGTTGCAAATTCATTGTAATAAATTAAATAAAATATACAACATTCCCAATTACTTAAAACCACTTGCTGCACTTGAACTTTGGCAAAACACTCGTTAAACTCGGTCAATAGATGGAGTGCATCGACCAGATATGGCGTCGCTCGCATAGCAGCTGTTTTCTTTCTGAGCTATTTAGCTAGACTTGAGTAGCGTGCAATATGAGTAAAAGGAGACGGACAGGCAGGATAGCCATGGTGCAATATCTGTTACGGCTACACAGATTGTTAGGATGTTGAATTCACTTTTGTACCAGCTCATGCATAGTTAACAAGAAAGATCGGGCACGAGAAACAGTTCATTTTTCACCAGTTTAATGGTATTTCAGTCAAAAGCTTTGCATTGAGATCGAGAGAAGAAGGAAAGAAAAGGAAAAAAGGCCATAGAAAATATGCACGACAACAAAATTCCGATGTGATCAATTAACAAAGAAATGCCCCATTTGGAAGCGCAGCCGTTAATTGATCAGGAAAAAGGCGAGCAAAACAAAGGAAGGTCGTTAAACTTCAGAGATTGAAGGAAAAAACACTTTTAATTATATATCTATAGAAGATTTATTCGCGAAAGATTTCTCGTGGTGAAAACCACGACGGTAATTTCTATCATTTACTTTGCATTCTTAATTCCTAGGGCTCGTCACAGCAGAAACAAATTGACAAGTCCGTAGTAAAAAGATGCCGCGTCCTCTCCCAAAAGAACAAAAGAACAAAATGCAAGGTTCATTGACCCCGTCGCTCCTCATAAGTTTATTGAAACCCGCTAATGAAGTATCAGAACATCCATTCTCTTAAACTAAACTCTTTGGATTGGCAATGAAATAAAATGATTCTCTCTGTCAGTACCTGGACATTTCATCTTAAAGAAATTTTTGTATCTTTTCAGGATCAGACAGAACAAACTTGTGCTGGGTAAATGAAGGATGCCAATCTCTTAAACCAGAGGCTTGTGCGAGCCTGCCTCTCGAGGTAGTTGAACAGGCTGATACGTTTTATCAGTATTTTGAAGTTTGGAATACAAGAAAAGAACAGAAGGGCTGATGGGGCAACCGCTGTGAGAATCGGCACGTACAACCGCGAATGTTCATTAAACTAAAACATTGTTTAGCGATTGCGGCCGTACACTTTTTATCAAAAGCAAATGTTATTTATAGCTTCCCTGCGTTCAAAGATAATTCATTAACTTGCCTTTTGTTTCATTAGTGATAACGCCGAGTTAGAAATCAGAATGGAAATGACTACGTTCAAAATGAAAACAACCTCAGACGTCATATCGGTGTGGACGTGAGTAAAACCTAAGAAAAAAAATTCAATAAAGAGAACACTCCATATATTTTCAAAATTATGCGAAACATTCCAGAATTGAATGGTAAATCTTTTTAATTTTGAAAGAAATTGGTGAATTGGGCCGTTTGTCGAGGATTTTGAAGCTATATCGAGGGCAAGTAGCTTTGGTGTGGGAGTCAAGTGTTCCTGAAGATCGTGTACCTATTGCTTCATGTTATCTGAGTGCAACAAAGATTTGAGCCACCTCGCTATTTGAAATCTTCATTTAATTAGTTATTCTTCATTACCTTACAAAGACACCACGTGGAAAGAACGAAGAAAATGCATATAATGTTTTCTATTAACTATAAATCAAGGTTCCTGTGACGCAGTACACGGCTATTCTAATTTTAGATGTGTCAGTACAGCAAGAAAAGGAATCGCGGAAATGCACATCTTTTGATGTCACAAATATAAAACACCATATGTTACGAGAGTTTTTCGAGTTATCCATTAGAAACGAGCAAACAGATTTTGGTCGGTACAACAAGATTTAAGAGGTTCTGTATAACCCCTCACTTCAGTCACTATCGCGGAATGCGGAACACTTCTATTCTTTACCATACATACATACATCCCTCCGGCTGTGCACTTTAAATCAGCCGATCTTTCACCGAAAAAGGCGGTTTTATGTGCAAATGAAAGTCACTTATAAAATCATAGTTTTGATTTTCATGACCAAACAAACAGTTATCAGACTGTATGATGAGCTCCATAAAACCTTCAGTTACTCAATTAAATATCATACCTCCCGATTTGCCGAATAGAGACCGTTGCCAATCTTGCCAATCCCAAAATGTAAGCAGGATACTTCACAGTAATTACAAGAAAAAGGAAAATCAAATGGAACGAGTGAGAAGCTTAAATTTTCTGTAATTGTTTAAGCTCACTGACCAGATTGAAAAGGATACTCCATAAAACATAATTCAATTTGATTGCATGCTACAAATATATTTATTCTCTAATTCAGTAAAAACTATTTATAACCAACACCGCAGGTTATGGCTGTTTATCATATAGAAACAATTCTTATTTACGCGTTTAGCCTTGACATTTTCCGCAATGGCCATTGTTAAGCTTTGTGATTCTGTAACCTCTAACTGTGTCTCACATATAATATCTATACACGGGTGTTGAATGCGGAAAAAATTTTCTGCTTTGTGACGGGAATAGCAGTGTAATTACTGAAAAATGAACGTGCCGAAAAGTTGTGTTTTCTTGGACAAGCTACAGAGGAGGTTTTTGAGTATCACCTTGAATATAAAATTAAAAGAAGGCTGTAAAAATATCGGCGGCAAATAACCACTCTTTCATTTTATAATTACATTTTGATCACCTCTGTGTTATATAGTTGAATTTGCCTTTGTTTCTTTTATCCATTGTCTTGTCAAATCGCACAGACGTCTATCCAACAAGTGAATTGTTTTAAACTGCCATTAACTGCGAATTTCCATTTACTACTGAACAGCTAAGGTCATTTTAAGCCACTTTATTCAAAGCCCTCAACAGGTTTTCGGCGCTATTAAATTTTAAAGGTTGCTGAACAAGAAACAGCTTCGAGTGGTAGACAGAACTAAGAGGTATGTCATGATATTCAATTATCGTGTAATTAGTAATGACTAGTAATCATTTAACATACTTTTCATGAGTCTTTCTATGACTCAAAGTAACCTCAAAGTAAGGCATGTGATCGCTTGAGTTCGAAAAATTTCCTGAGTTCCAAATGATTCACGATCAGTTTAGAAGAGTAAAATTCTTTTGACAGAAATGTTATTCTGTTTCTTTTGACCGAGGTTGCCACGCACCCAAACGGTTCTTTTTCTCAACGCTTGCATCGCACGTACCACAAAAATAGCTGAGATGTCATGACAAAGAAAAAAATATGCTACTATGACAACCTATACTGAGCTAAAACTTACGTATACCAATTTTTTTTTCTTTTTTTTCTGCATTCTCGTTAACACTGATCTTGGCTTTCATACAGGTCATGAAGACCATTTTTGTTTGGGGCTGCCTCATGGCTACTCTTATCGAGCTTTGTATATCGGACATGTACTTGCATGCTCCACCAGGATCCAACAATCGCTTGAACGGCAACCAAGATAACGTCAGAAACGCAAACAGATTGTTTGATTCCCAGGTATAGTGCCATTACATACTCGCTTTTCATCACGGTAACCTTCTCTCAGGCCAAAGTAGTCGACTGATCGGTCGGTCGGTCGGCCAAGCAAGCACAAAGAAATTACAAGAAATAAATAAACGAAGCAGCCTAGATCAGGAAATTCCTGAACGCACCCATTCGCTTGCTAATTGTTTTCCTAGCCCAAACTTTCCGATATTTTGTACAGCACAGGTCAGATAAGATGGTAAATTGACCAATTTATCGTATAAATTAATCTTCATCTGTTTTTAGACAGAGCGTTAATATTTCTGGAAAGGGTATCTTTATTAAATTTTTGGTTTGCCTTTCCTGAAAAAAGGGTCGGTCAGCATCTACCATGATATTCAGAGTAGAAAAAAGGCCGATAGTGCTACTGCTGCTAGAAAGTAGAACAGAATAATGACCAGCCTAGAAAACTTGGAAATTACTTGTATAACATCGATGATAGGCTGTAAGGTAACAGAAAAAAAAATTACATTTTTAGAGCATACAAAACTAAAATATCTAATAGAAGAGGGAAATCAAAATAGCCCAATGAACTTTTTCAGATGTTTTAACCTCGTGGTTATTTTATTTAGACATAAAGGTAAACCCAGTCCGAGGAGAGATTTAATTACATAAAAATAGCGGACAAAAGCAATTCAGTTCATAAATGATTCCTTCGTCTTCTTTCTAAGAATAACGGCAAGGCTGGTTACAATGTCGGCGACAGTTTGGATAGCAACCCCGGAGACAATATTCGAGAGTTCAGACAGCTGCCACAGGTAAAACTCGTTTATCATTTGTTAGCAGTTGTCTTTTTGTTTGCTCTCTTGCCTTTTTTTTTCCTTATGCTTGATATTTTTTTCAAATGATTCAATCAGGAATATTACATGAGTGGATGCGATGCTAAGGCAAAAACCGAAGTTGATATCATGTGGACAAACCAACACGGAACTGGACCAGGTACCAATGACATGGTAGAAACCCAAGTTATTCTACAGTACATGTGTCAGCCTTATCCACAGGGCAAGATGGCAACCAACGACGTGAACAAAGAATTTGAATATCATACAATCCGTAATGGGCAGACTCTTACCACTCAGTCATTTTCGAAAAACGCGCGAGAGAATGCTTACATAAGAAGAGACAGAGGACTTCACGAACCAGCCAACTATTATCAGGCGTATTATCGGAGAGAGAGAAACAAAGGTAAGAGGTTTAAACAAACTGAAATACCGAACTGACTGATACAAAAATGAATCTCGATGAGTCACTCTCTTTATAGTAATGATACTATTGTTCATACTCCAGGCTTGTTCACTGCTGACCAAAAACTTAAAGGTGATCTACCGATTTATACGCGACAGAATGCTGCAGGGACAAGGAGGGGCTTGGAGGTCCCTGAGGAACGCGATTACTATCCATACTGGGGCCCTACCCCTTGGAGGGACATTGCTATCATGGTCAGCGATAAGAAGACCGAGCAACTGATGAAAGAATACGTAAACAGCCCTCACTATGGGCACAAATGTAAGTCAGGTTTGGTCTGAACGGTTTTATAAGTACTGCACTATACAGCAATGACTGACTTTTGTTATCACTAAAATGGTAAAAGAGCAAATCCATTTGAAAATTTCCCCTAAATCTCATATTTTAGACTTGTGTATAATGCCTACCAAGCTTGCCGGAAATGACGACTGTCCGCCGGACAACGCGAACGTTAAAGGAGAAAAATGTGTTGCAAAATACATCACCTCAGAGAAATGCAAGGCGGCTGGAGGAACCTGGACAAAATTCATTACGAATTATGTTGAAAAAACTGCTGGTGTGTTAAGCACGTGTCATAATGTGGGCGAAATGAAACTGGCAAGAGGAATTCCTTACGAACCACACAAGATCTCTCAAGGAGCTGATCAAAAGGAGCAGTTTGTTCTTGTTCACAAGCCTCCGGAAGTGATCTACGCCCCATCCACTGTCGTTAATCATAACGGAATGAGCATGGAAGGAAAGTTTTCGTCCTACAAGTGGAAGGTTCCTTGCTTTCCAACAAACACCACCCAACGCTGTGTATTACGAATCAGGTGAGACAACTAATAATCCTTTGACTCCAGGCGTGCGATGGAAGTAAAGGCGATGGGGCGTTGAAAGCAAGAAGCGGGACTTTAAATATCATTAGGTTTCATAATGATAAATTTTCCTCTCTTTCACCAGAAAGGAGAAATGGTCGCATTCAACCCAAGATTCCTTCATGTAACCCGTTTTGGCCTTATGATTTTTCAGCACCAATATTCTCAAATGCTATTAAGTAATGTTCATTACTGCGTAGATCGCTTTCATATTCACTTCTCAAACTCATTGATAATGCAAGAGGTAATTAACCAATTGTGTGGCCTCGTTTGGGTCACATGGATGCCCCTTGATACCCGGTAAAGAACAGATCCAAACACGCGTGATTAGGTATCCAAACACACGTGTTAGGATATCCAAACATGTGCATTTGGAAATCAATTTCCAAAAGAATGCAGTACTTGAACAAACGTTTATTAAGTTCCAGGATTACAGTAACCATTCTTTGCGGTTAACATTAACTAATTGTGTGACCCCTTTGTGCTGAGTACTTTTATGTTTTGAACGTTTGAGCAAAGAAACTTCCTCTTTGCAACTTTTCGGCGGTCGAAACCAAGAAGACCTTTCCGTGGCTGCTTCTTCCATTTCTCAAAATTGCAAATGAGGACGCCAATGCAAAGTGTGACTGGCTCTAATTAAAAAGCTGAAGTTGTGAAAAAACTCAACGCCCTTCATGACACTTACTAACAACTATGCACATGCGATAATGAAACAAAAGAAAGCAAAAATTGATTATTTACGTGGTCTCTCTGTTTTTGTGTTTATTGTTAATAAATTAGGCCCTTTTGAGAAGCCATTCATAAACTCGAGCTTCGTGTTTCATCAGGATTTCCAAACACTCGAAAACAATAAAAGCACTCGACCTTTGGCCTCGTGCTTTCATCAGTTTTCTCGTGTTTGGAAACCCTGATGAAACACTCGCCCTCGTTTTTATGAAATATTACTTCTTTACCGCAGTTCACATATATGATTTTCATAAACGTGCAGTCATTTATTCATCACTTCACGGGTTTATCTAGAACCGACATAATGTGCCTAACTCAAAACTTAAGTCAGCTATGAAGCAAGTCTGTTAAGCTTAAATGAGACTGATGTTTTTCTTCGCAGGTACAACATAACCACAAGAGATGTGCCCCGTGGGTTTACTGCTAGCAACAATCACAAGTAAGTACGTAATCCTTTTACCCCTAAGAGTGACCAGCTTCTCATTTCTCCTTACAATAACACCCCTTAATCAAACACTAAGGTCACAAGAATAAAGGAAATGATCACCAACTTAAGAAGCTCTTGACTGTTAAACAAATTCTCCTTGTTAGTAACTCAGGAAATATGTAGTGAGCAGTACATGGACAACATGCATACTGATGTTAGGATATTAAGGGTTTATGCCTTCTTTACCAAGTCATTCCATTTTACCGTTAGTAGAATCACCAAAGTTAACAAAAGTTAAAGTGAAATGTTTTAGTTTCCTAAATGTTTGTAAACCCGACCGTCTAATAACACTGTTTATTCTCTATTATCAACAAAATAAGGCTCGATTTTCTCCTTTTTACAACAATAGCACATTGCTACCGTGATCTTGAATTCACAATCGTTCAATTTGTAATTTTTGATCTGATAGCTCTCAGTTCTGAGTTCCATCGACATGAAATCCGTTAGGATAAGTGAAAAACTACTGAGTGGAAAGGAAACATAAAACACTGGGATTTGATTCAAACTGGTAAAGACCTCGGTAAAATTACACTCCACCGGAAGGAGCCGACTGGACATAAAGACCAACGTGGGAAAATAGCCTTTACAGATCGAATATTCTTTTCTTCACAGGGTTAAAAATAATCCGAAAACTAAAGCTGTTGACAAAACGACCGTTCTTCAAATCGCTTTGAACACTGCCCAGCTTGGCAGAACATTCCAGGATAGAAGTCATGTGATCATCCTCAAACCACGCAGCAAACTGCCCATGAAATTTCAGCATAGCAGTATCTACTACATCAATGGAATGGGCAAGAGAGGAAACATCGTTCAAGCGTATCCAGCCATGGAATATCGCTTTTATCCTGAACGGCTTACTGTTACAACAGATGATGTGGTGTGTTTCGTCTGGTCCGGTGAGAAGGAACAATCTATTTGATACGAACTGTTGTTTCCATTTCGTTCTTTCATTGTGTCTAATTGTTTACCTATTTATTTTCTTCTATCGGTAGGCTCAAACAACAATCAGAACAATGCTGGAGAGGGAACAGCACGTAAGAAAAATACTGCACATATGAATTATTTAGGCACCCAACGGACTTAAAAAGCTCAAACTTGAAAATTTGGCAAAACACAGCTGAGTGAAGTAAATCTTATAAGTATACCGCCCTAAATAATTTTCCATTTCATTTCATCATTTCAGGTACTGATCGCACCAACGTGTGCTGGATAAAGGAAGGATGCCAATCTCTCAAACCAGCAGCGTGTTCCAGCCTTCCTCTTGAAGTAGTTGACCATGTCGACGAATTTGATGCCGCCAAGTTAAATGTTCACCTTAACAAGGGCTGTTACACTGGTGGCAAAACACTGCAGGCTCAACTGAACGACGCCCCGGCCTCTTGCAACCCGCCATGCTTCCGCATCACGAAGTCCGGGACATACTGTTACATGGGCACGCGCAATAACAACTTCTCTAACCGACGTCACATAGGACAGATAAAAGTCAGTAAAGCTAAAACTACTCCTAAATAAACTTATCAGTAAATAACTCTAGAAACACAGAGCAAGGAACGCTTCTCAAATAAAAAAACTGAGGAGGCATTCGAACTGAAGAATAAGTGCGTCCAACTTTTTCTTTGCTTTTATTGTTGTTGTTGTTTTTTTCTTCTTCATTTCTTACGTAGATACGACGGTTTTAATTGAAAGTTGATGTTTTTAGTACGTCATGTAGTTACTCCTCACCCTCTATTTTTTTGTCTTATCCAGATTTCGATGTAAAGCTCACGGATAAGGTTGCATCCGTCCCTTAAATAAAGCCTGTTCACGGGCACGGACACGAAACTCACGATCACAAAACTTAAGATCACGGTAAATGTGCCAACTAAACAAAACCCTCCTGATCAGATTCAACTCAACGACAGGCGGCCCAAGCTCACGTCTCGAGAGAAAGCAAACGATTAATTCATGAAAGTGTCACGCGTTGTGTGACTCGGTGGTAAGTTACGAGAGGAACCGTTGAGAATTTGAACACGCTCAGTAAGGCATAGTATGGGGAACGAAATATGGTCGACTTACAGCAATAAATGTTTCAAAATATGAGCATACTACACGTAAAGTCAATAGAACTTACTCACATCTTGTGTGTTCGTTGTGGTTTCTTACGATTTCTGCCGTTTTAAGCTTGCTTTTCCATCACTGTTATTCCAGTAAAAAGACGAAGTCGAGGCTGCACACTCCATTTTCGACCGTTGTCCACGCGAAAGTGGTTTGCACCCCAAAAATCCTCCCGATCGGCATTTTTCTCAGCCATAGTTCACGATCTAAGATCATTGCATCCTGGGACATGTCTCAATACCAAAACTCCCCGTGCATTTCGCTGAAAACGAGCGTTTTCTACTTGCATTTCCAAGTTCGCTTCTCTCTGGCTATTCTCTTGATAATCAGACTAAACACGGCCGCGGAAGAGACTTGGGTACGAGGTCAATTTTCTCTTTAGAGAATGTTTTCTCTCTGTAGAATGTTCATATTTCGAAATATTTATCGTTGTAAATCGACCATATTTCGTTTCCCATACTAATCCTTACAGCGTGTTCAAATTCTCAACGGTTCCTCTCGAAACTTAATACCGAGTCACACAACACATGATCCTTTCATGAATTAATCGTTTGCTTTCTCTCGAGACGTGAGCTTGGGCCGCCTGTGACTCAATTGAAATTTTGGTATTTCGAAAAAACTGAAAGCAAAACAATGACAGGCTCAAAATTGTTAGACAGCAGAATACTGTTGCGGGAAAGTCACAAGTAAATCGGTGGCGTTGTTTTGCGATGCTGGTAAGGGAGTCAGTATTACATCACGATTTAATTTTCCTTAAGGGTGGCAAATGTTTTACATGTCACCCGTTGAAACTTTTGGTGAGAGAATAATCAGTTTCTAAATGATACAAAAGATAGTGCTGTTTAAAACTACTTGAGGTAAATTTGAAACCATTGAAATGGCTCCGAAAATAGCCTCATATAGAAAGGCATCCAAGCCAGCGAGCAAAATCACAGACTGTGACAAGCACCATAGCTTTAGGCGTTTTTAATTGATCAGTTTAAAACCTGAATGTCGTAAAAGGGGGTTGTAGGGATGTTATTATTCCAAGATAAATCGCCCTAACTCTAGTTATAGGTTTCTGTTCCGTCACTGGGTAAATGTGAATGTCTTGGGTCCCCATGCCAAGAACCGTAGCTTACAAAGTAGTTACTCAGTCTCTCTCGCTTTCTTACTGAGCGGCTGCATGCATGCTATATATTCATTACATCTGGAACCCAACCTTGGTGTCTTGAAAAACAATCGTCTCACAACATTATTAAAAGCTCAGTTTCCTTTATGTCGGCATAATTATTTTTTCAAAACAAAGCGCATTTTCCTGAAAGGAACCGCATGCAATAAACCACCTACATGGCTTGTTAAGTGTTTTTATTATTGCATCAAAATCATTGGCCGTTATTTTTGTGCCACGAGACGCCTACTTGAGTTATTTAGCAGTTACGCAATAGCACCTTAGGCACAGGGGGTGGGCACAAGTCGGCTCAACCCGTGTACTGAGAGTAGATTTGTCCTCTCCATATATCTCCAGCCAAATAATCCCGATTAATCAGTGATTTCAGCTCAAAAAGTTTATGATAGAAACTTTCACTACAATGAATTCCCACTATTCCTGCATGTACATTGGTAGAAACTCAAAACAAATGTTAAACCTAAAAAACTGACTCTAAGAAGGTAATTCAGTGTTAACAACTGAGTTGAAAACGTAAATTAGCCACCGTAAAGGGTAAAAAAGCTGACCTTTCGAGCGTTAGCCCTCTTCCAATCGCTCTGACGAAGGGCTAACGCTCGAAACGTCAGCTTTTTTACCCTTTACGGTGGCTAATTTACGTTTTCAACTCAGTCGTTAACTGTAAATTACCTGCTATACTCTCCCACCGACGCAGCACCACAGTTTCTTTAGAAACTTACCCCTTTATTCATTTGACTCGAAGCAGTCGAGTACTTTGTTTGAAATTAAGTTTTAGTGAATACTGACAAATGGACGTGTCATGAACTGAACATTGCGTAGCAACAGCCAAGCAAGTGTATGCAACGATTTTCAAGTACCATGCTGAAACAAAGCACCGGAACATATAGCAAAGGGGAAGGGAGATTAAGTCCAGTCTCATTCATCTTTGCAATAACTCATGCATCGTGTATTGCCTGAAATAATTTGCCACGATCCAAGATCAAAATCTTGATAATTAGCTCGGCTTTAAGTCGAACTGATTTCTGATAAACTTCATGAAGACTTTTGCATTGGCATGGCGAAGGGAAAGAGGAAGGAGTTGGTTTTCTATGTGCGGGAATTTCGCGTGATGTATGCAATAACAAAACAACAACTCCATAATGACCTTTGGACAAAAAATGCTCGGTTTGGTTGCGTATCGGCAAAAAGCGCGCGATCGAAGAGACGATTTGGAGAACAGAAGTTGTATGAATCGACAAGTTTTCACCGAAAATTAAGGCAAATTTCTTATCATATACTGTTACTGGACTGGATGCATGCAGATCGTGCCATATAAAACGTAATTTATGCACAACTCAAGCACGCAGTTAACAAAAATCATTAATCAAGATCCAACCAAGAAAACAAAGCAACTGGTCCATCGTTCACGACCTCGACAGTTGTTAATTAAAAATTTGCATCGACTCGCAAGTCTACCATATTTCGCAAGAGGCATAGAACCCTGAAATATCTTCAGACGAGAAATGCTGGCTGTTTAAAAAGAATGGCTTCTTCAGAGCTATCCTCGCCGGTAAAAACCAAAACCTTCTATCTCGGATTACATTCTACATCGTAAAAATGATTCGTTGAAATTAGATGAGGTTTCATCACAATTGAAACTAGTATAAAATCAAACTAGGATAATGCTTACATTAATGAACGTCGATTAGCTAAATTCCTCGGAAAAAACGGCAAACTAGAGATCTTAGTAACACTCTTCATTTGGAGCCAAGATTGAGAATATGCCTGAAAAGTCCGTTCCCGTGCCCAAAATAACGCCAACTAACCAATTACAAAAATTCATTGTAATAAATTCAAGAAAATATACAAAACATCCCCAAACACTTAAAATCACTTGCTGAACTTAAACTTTGGCAAAACACTCATCATACTCGGTCAATAGATGGAATGCATCACTCAGATATGGTGATGCTCGAGTAGCGTGCATTATGAGTAAAAGGAGACGGACAAACAGGATAGACATAGTGCAATATCTATTATGGCTACACAGATTGTTAAGATATTGAATTCACTTTTGTACCAGCTCATGCATAGTTAACAAGAAAGATCGGGCACGATTCTGGTTCGCAACACTAAATAGTTCATCTTTTACCAATTTATTAGTATTTCAGTCAAAAGCTTTGCATTGAAGTCGAGAAAAGAAAAAAATAAAAGGAAAAAGAGCCATAGGAAATATGCACGACAACAAAATCCTGATGGGATAAATTAACAAAGAAATGCCCCATTTGGAAGCACAGCACTAATTGATTAGGAAAAAGGCGAGCAAAAGGGCGTTAAGCGGTAGAGTTCACAGGATAAAACAATTGTAATTATATATTTATAGAAGATTTGTACGCAAAAGATTTTTCGTGGTGAAAACCACAACGGGAACTTCTGTCATTTAATCTGTATTCTTAATTCCTCAGGTTCATCACAGCAGAAACAAATTGCCTCTCCCAAAAGAACAAAAGAACAAAATGCAAGGTTCATTGACCTCGTCGCTCCTCATAAGTTTATTGAAACCCATTGGTGAATGTATCAGAACATCTGTTCCCCTAAACTTGACCAACACTTTGAAGAAATAAAACTTTATACTCCATTTCTGAGATCCTCAAGAAATCTGAGGAATCTTAAAAAAGGCCCAAAGTGGACATAAAATTAATTTAGGTGGAGATATTCATTGTTTGAGGATATGCATATAATTAAATTAAAACATTAAGGAGCCTACTTTTAATTCTACTTTATCCTATACTTCCATCTTCAAAAGAATCTTTTATAGCTAAATGAATGAGTTAGTACGCAGTCAGTAGTGGTAAGTATGCAGATAAGCGAGTAAATATTATTTCAATGCAAAAATGTCATGAATATTCTGACAAACAACTCGTGAACGTGAAGCTTCAGTGAGCTAATGGCATTTGGTAACCAATGTCAGTCCTACTTGACAGGCTATTGTCCCGCTTTTATGTTCAGATTTTCAATTTTGTATAAATCCAGGCGCATACCTTAAGCTCATTACAACTTCACTGCAGCTCAACAGGTGCGGACCTCATCACACTAATTACGCTGTAAGGCGTTTTAACTTACCAATCGGTCAAACCAAGGTAAGTGAGATCATTTAGTAACACCTTGCCGAAACCGATCGCTCTTTTATGAAATTTAAGGGGATTCTGTGATTGAAACCCGCAACTGGTCTCTAAATTGTGTTAAAGTCATGCGTTAAATCAAAATCAAAGCTGGGTTGAGTGCGTGTGATACAATCCTCGGTTCTCTCACCCTTACCGACCGAGTAGTACTCGGTTGTTAAAATCTTTTAGTGTGAATTCTGGACGTATTTAGCTACATCTATCGATTTTTAAGGCCCCTTCAGTAATCAAGATTAGACTACCAAGTAAAAAGTGTATTTGTGAGTACTTAAAAATTTCCATGTTCTTTGTGAGCAACATTCCACAAGGGCTAAATTCCATGCTTGTTTATTGACAACGCCCTTAAAGAGAAAGGTTTCATGGCTCAATGCATGTATGTGCATGTGCCTTAAGGTAGTTCATTAACCTTCATTGTTTTCTTTTCATAAAAGCAACCTTAAGCTAAATGAGGCAAAGCGATGGTTCGTGCAGAAAATTGTCTTTTAAAATTCTGCGGGGATTAGGAATGTTTATGACGTAGAGATAACAATAGGTCCCAAAAACCCGTGTCATCAAAATAGCATGATCTAGAAGAAAAATATGATCTACTTGAAACGCTTACATCTTCCCTAGAAAAAAAGACATCACGTACTTATATGCTTCGATGACTCAACAAACTTTCTTCGTTAGGCAAGCAAGACACCTCAAGCCTTATTCCCAATCGTAAATGATTCTAATAAATCCTTACTGAAAAGAAATGTGTTTTCACTGTAATTATTTGCTTGAGGTATTGTTTACCAGACAGACAGCTGCGAGCAGAAGTTTTAAATTTGTATCTGACTGGCCCATAAAAAGGAGTTACATTAGTCATTTATAATATTCACCACTACTAAAATAACAACAAGCGATACCCTTGATAGCACGTCAAACAGAAGCTGCATGGAGGAAGCCGCCCCCAACTGACTGTGGGCGCTGATTGGGAATGTTTCATTTCGCATGCAAAGAAAAGATTCCAAATCTTATTTGAATAGAAACTGGATATCTTTGAAATGTGATTGCTTCATCGAAAACC